AAAAAAAAAAGAACATGAAACTGACTCCTAATTCCAACTTGTCTTTGTTACTTTTGTATTTGTAAGGAAATCACTTAACTTTTCTGATTCTCGGTTTTCCATAGAATAAGGATAAAGTATCTACATTATACTTAATAACACTATTAAGAGGATAAAATCTGATTTCAAGTATTGATTATACTTTGTAGATTATTAAATTTTATGCAAATGTAAAATAATCTGATCACATCTTTGCTTGCTAATAAATTGATATCACTAATTTTCCCTCCTGTTTAATGGCTATCTTTTGTGATTATATTTCTATAACATATTATATGTCTCTAGTCTGTTCCTTTTTATAGGGCTGGGTTCCTAGTAACACTTTGTCTGGGAATCCCATAACCATTTGTTTAAGGCCTATTAGATGACAGGTACTATAGCAGGTGTGTGAAAATGTGAAGGTAAACAAGATAATCTTTGCCTGGTAGTTAAAGATAAATAGTTATATTATCAGGTAGAAAATTTGTTGAATTTTAGAATGAAATAGATTAGTGGAACAAATACATTAGTTCATTTCATAAGGAAATGTATAATCGGGCACTACCACTGAAATTGCAGAGACACTTTTGTTTTGGTTTTGTGATTAAGTGTATTGTTTTTTTTCTTTTTTCTTTTTTTTTTTTTAAGATTTTATTTATTTATTTGACAGAGAGAGACATAGTGAGAGAGGGAACACAAGCAGGGGGAGTAGGAGAGGGAGAAGCAGGCTTCCCCGCGGAGCAGGGAGCCCGATGTGGGGCTGATCCCAGGACCCTGGGACCACGACCTGAGCCGAAGGCAGATGCTTAATGACTGAGCCACCCAGGCGCCCCTATTGTTTTTTTTCTTCATATGTAACCAGCTTTTGGTAAGAATAGGTATCACTTGAGAAGGATTTAAGTTTTCTGTGTGTGTGTGACTCTTGGATGTTGATGTTACCCTAATTTTTCTTCATATAATTTATTTAAAATAAGTACTAGTAGAATATCTTTGGTTTAGAATTTGGTAGGAACTGATAAGATCGGTAAAGATTAATAAGAACAATTTTAATTCATTTGTACAAATCATAGACAAGAAAGCTAAAAGGTCATCTTATCAGTGATTTTTAAATTATTTTTTAGAGGAGCATTAGAATTCTGTTGTCTTGCTGAGGTGTGTTAGGACCTGCTGAGCAGGGTCATTGCCTGCAGGGTTTGGTTCCCTGGGGTTGCCTAGATCTCCTTCCCCCTTTTAACCAGAGTAGGTCCAACATTATGTTTGTATGTTGGTGATAAATGTATGTTTTTTTCCTTAAATAGTTTTTATGTTTAAAAATGTAAGTTAGGTAACTAGTCTTGTTCCTCATTTTATTTTTATTTTTTTTTAAGATTTTATTTATTTCACACAGAGAGAAAGAGCACAGCAGGGGAAGCGACTGGCAGAGGGAGACGTAGGCTCCTTGCTGAGCAAGGAGCCTGATGCAGGGCTTGATCCCAGGATCCTGGGATCATGACCTGAGCCAAAGGCAGATGCTTAACCTACTGAGCCACCCAGGCGACCCTCATTTTAATGACAAAATTAAATTACAGAGTACCAGAGAATTAAAGTTAAATGAAACCCTGATATTCAAATTTCAGTTGTTCAGGTAAATTATACTGCCTCCATGTGGCTTAGTGATATTAAGAATCTTATTAAGCCATTTTAAGTAGTGAATAATCCAGATTATATATATGACTGGATCTGACTTCAAGATTTCATTGAAAATGTTAATATGAAGACATGGCATGAAATTTAAGTGAAAATGATTTGATATTGGCACTTTTTTATTTACAAAGTTTTTTTTTAAGTACTAGAAATGTTCGAAATTGAAACTCCAAATACGTTTTTATAATTTTCATTTATTTGAGAGCATGAGTGAGAGAGAAACAGAGAGAGAAGGAGCAGGGGGAGGGGCAGAGGGCAAGGGAGAAGCAGACTCCCCACTGAGCAGGGAGCCAGACATGGGGCTCGATTCTGGGACTCCAGGATCATGACCTGAGCCGAAGGCAGACGCTTAACTGACTGAGCCACCCAGGCGCCCCGTCAAAGTTTTTTTAAAGTTATTTTAACACTGCCCTTAAACTCTTAAAACATTAAAGACCTCTTTCCTAAAGAATAAGATGTACTTCATTCATGGTTTTACATGCAGTATAAGTTAAATGAAGTGATTAAGGGCATAAAATTATCCTTTGAGTTTCTACCTTAATTTTCATTAGTTTGGTAAATATGCAGTCTCTGTAAAGTGAATGTTAATCGAACTTTCATTTGTCTTTTGGCATTAAAAAGTTCACTTAGTGCCTAACTTCTCACTTAACAAAGTTAAAAACAAGGTGATTTAATATGATTTGTAAGGACATCTAATAAACAGTTGCATTGTGTGTAAAATAAATAGAATACCTGATTTTTTTTTTCTTCAATAAATGTGCATTGTTTTGGCCTTGACCTTGACATTTTGGCAAGATGAGTTCTTTAGGTTCTTTATTAAATTTAGAATTCTCTAGCATAAATGTAGACTAATGGCAAATGATACTGTTTTTCCTATTAATACATAATGATAATGAAATAGTAATTTTTAAAATAAAGATATAATTGACACATAACATTATATTAGTTTCAAGTGTACAACATAATCATTCAGTAATGGTATATATTGTGAAATGATCACTACAGTAAATCTAGTTAACAATTACAAGGCAGGAGTAATTTTAAATAATTTCAATTAATGACCACTAAATAGAATGTTTAATGACTACTGAACAGAATGACTTTTAGAATCTATTTAGATCCAATTGTTAGGGTACTGAAAACTTACTTCAGTATAATCTGCCCTTTTTCTCAACTCCTCCTGATAATCGTTTTGATTTCTAAAAAAATAATGAAGTGATTATTAAGTCAAATTGATGCTTAATCTCACTCTATCTCTTTTTAAAATTATTTGCAGGAGAGGGCTGCTCACAATTTATATGGCCAATTTGGTAAGTAATTCCTTTTCTTGTTGTTTCTTTTGAAGTTTTCCCATGTGCTTTTTTATCTTTCTTTTTTAAATGGAGTTCCCTTAAAAAAAAAAAAAAAGGAAAGGAAAGCTACTGAAATTTCAGAAGATCTTCTGTCTCTGTTTTGAAGGATAGTCTTAAATGTTTAAAAGAGCCTTGATGCCATCTGGTTTATTCCTATCATATATGACTTATTTCCATTTATTTCAGGAGTAAGTGATTACCTGCCTGTGCCCTTCATGACTGTTTTTTTCTTTAAGCGTAGATCTTCATCTTTGATAGGATATATATCTCTATGTATCTCTTTCTCCATATCCTCAATTTCATTTCATACTCTGCTTCTCTTGCCATTTCTTTTGGGAAAATGATTTAAGGATGAGCTTTTATGATGTCATTATTCTTGGACCTTAGAACAACATTGGTCCTATCTCCAAACACTGAGTATATTTAATAACATAATTATCTGGTCTTCTAAATTTCGAAGTTTATAGGAATGAAATCAGTGTTGTCTAGTCTGATATTCTTTATGGTAAATATATAATCAAGATTATATAATTTTCATTGCCAAGTTCATTATTTAAAAATGTATTTACAGGGGCTCCTGGGTGGCTCAGTCGTTAAGCGTCTGCCTTCGGCTCAGGGCATGATCCCAGGGTCCTGGGATCAAACCCCGCATTGGGCTCCATGCTTGGCAAGAAGCCTGCTTCTTCCTCTCCCACTCCCCCTGCTTGTGTTCCTGCTCTCGTTATCTCTCTCTCTGTCAAATAAATAAATAAAATCTTTAAAAAATGTATTTACATGAAAAATTTTTAAAGTTGTTTGATAGAATTAATAGGCAACATTGAAAAATTCAACTAAGAAAAAATTATCTGAGGAGAGGTTCTTGAATTCTCTAACAAGGGAATATAGTTCAGAGTTCTATTTAGAAGCTCGTTTCAGGTATAAAATATTAAATTTTTGCTCTGCACTTACCATATGTCCATTACTGTCCTGTCTGCTGATAGACAGGATGGAGATAGTTCTTATACTTATGGAGTTTGCTGCCTAGTGAAGAAGTCACAGTAGAAATAATAATGTTTGAAAAGGACTGGAATATAAATAATAGCATGCTGTGAGAACCATAATATTGACACCAAACTATTGTGGGTGCTGCTCTTCTTTTTCAAGATACTTAAAAATATTTCTGCATAATACTAGAATGGATTTGAGTTTTAATGTGTTTTTTTTTCTTTAACCATGAACATGCTTTTCTATATTACCACATGGTATGTACTTTAATACACAAATACTCTCTGTATTTATATACTTAACTTTAAATTCTAAGTAAAGTTTCACAAACTTTTTTTGTGTGTCTTGCCTGGTTTAGGTTGTTAATTCCTGGAGAGATGATCTTTGACTTTGTTTGATATAATCAATGTTGGAGATTGCCCTTAATATATTGTATTTTTTAAGAATAAGCCTTTTAAAGGAATCATACATAGATTCATATGCAGCTGTAAGAAATAATAAAGAGATCTCATATACACTCCATTTCCCCTGTAGTAATATCTTACAAAACTATAGTAGTATCAAAATTATATTGATGTTGATATTTACTGTAGTCAAGAGAGAGAACCTTTCTTTTATGAGAAGAAACAAAACTTAATTTTGATCCTTTATTAAGGATATTTTAATCATTAACCACAAAATTTTAATGAGATCAAAGGCCTTTTAAACATAGATTTTCACTATGTTTAAAGGAAAGTGAACTTATACATAATACATTCTTGGTATACCAATGATAACCTAATAAGCTTAATTTTCTTAATCTAAATAGGGCCTTTGTTTATTCTATTACTATAAAACTATTTCTTTAGTAAGAGTAGTTGGTGCAGAGTAGGTAAAGATTTAAATATTTTCAGAGACTGAATTCAGCTTTAAGAAATAACTTTGTTCTAGAACTTGATTGTACTGGTTATTAGACTAAGTTAAAGTTGTTGGCTTATAATATCAACAACAATATTTCTAAATGATAGGAGCTTTTATTTTAAAATTATTTATTGTATTTATGTATGTATTTCTGATTTGGAAAGTACAGAAGAGCATAAAAAAAGAAAGTAAAAACCATCCGTAATTTTACCATGTAGTAATTACTACCATTTTAATGTTTTTTATTCCCTTCCTTCTCCTCCAGTGTACGTACATAAATACACAAACAGAGATGCACATTCACATTACATATTATATACCTTTTTTGAAATATTGGGGACATATTATTTTGTGACATCTTTTGTTACTGTGCTGTATAGTTTTTATTGCTCATGATATTAAATAATCATTTTTTGGAGGGTGTACGCCTACCTTTCCACTTCTTGTTATATCTTCATGACAGTGGGTTGGTTTCATACATACACATAAATGCACAGCCCCCCTCAAAATGTTGGGGACAATGAAATAATAACTGTTTGGTTAGTAACAATATCATCTTGTTATTTTTGGCTGTGATAGTTATTGGTCCTTAGTCATTTTAACCAGAAAATTTCAAAGGCGTTGGCATGCCTTTGAAAGAGTACAAGATAGAAGAATATGCAGAACTGGCTTCATATTATCTTTATTATCTTTGTCTTTATTTTTATTAGTAAATACTTATTGCATGCACAGCACTTTGCTTAGGTATTGGGACACAAATATAAGCCATTATTCTGTCCTCAAAATTAATTTAGTTGAGAGTACAGGTATACCTAGATCTGGATTTAAAATGAATAGGTAATTAATAGTCCAAGATAGTGCATTCATGTCAAATGTGAAATATAGTCTTTCGAACTTTAGAAAAGGAAGTTAGCTTTGGGTAGGAGCAATCAGAAAGTTTTATGAATTACATGGGACTTGAACCTTGAAGAAAGGAGGGGACTTAGAGGCAGCTCCATGTTGGAGATATGTCATTGGTGACCACAGGACAAAATTCTTGCCTTTCCAGGGATTGCCAAGCTGGGGTCAAGGTTTATGAACCAAAAAGGGATAAGAACCATTGAGCATCTACTGTGTTAGACACTGTAAGTGAAATTGGAGTCATTAAAATAAACAAGGTCATATAGTTTCTGCTTCTGGGGGACCTTCTACTTTATTGCGAGAGAAATATGTAAACTAGTGGAAATAAACCTCATTTCTGTTTTTTTGTATTGATAGTTGTCTCAAAACAGAAAACAGTATAGTGTTTCTACTATGCAATTTTGAGTATACATTTTGCTAGTTGTGTTTGTGTTAGTGTTGTAGGGAACAGGTGAAGAGCCAGATAGTCTAAATAAAGGCATTTCTATTTGTGCTTTTGTAATTATTAAAAGATCTTTTCTGGTCTCCCTTATAGTTAACACTTATTACCCATGAAATCTGTCAGTAAGCCCTGGCAAGTCTCAGTTATTAGATCATTAGTTTATAGCCTTAAAGATTAACTAGCAGTTTTAATAATTACAAACTTAAGGCAATTGAATTACTACCCGTCTGGGAGTGGTTTTTTTTGTTATGTGTTTGTTAGCAATTTTGGAAGGAAAAGTGTACAATTTAAAAATAGTATAGTTTTTTAGCTTTTTAGAATTGATAGAGAACTAGTTGTTGACAGGCAAAATATATGAAATGTATAGACAAGGTATAAAATAAAGAATTAAATATTTTCTCTGGCTTCTGCCCAAGATATGGCTCTAAAATGATGGAAATGTTTTCTTGGGGCTAATATACTAGAACCAGTTACCTACAAGAACACCAGATGCTTAGATTCAACTTTGCCACAGTATTATTTAAAAGAGAACACATCAAAGTTTGCATTGATATAATTTCCCTTTATTATGTTGGTTGTGACAATGACAGGGTCCTAGTCTTTCAAAATTCATTGTATACTGCTAACAGTTATTTAAAATGTGATGTTAGGTGTAGGTCATTTATGTTTAGTTTAATTATAATTTATGACATTTAAAAATCTTCCTGTGTAGGTCCTTTTGAAAACTTTTCTCTGCAATTTAATTTATGCAATCAAGCATTCAACAATGCATGCGTTTTAAAATTGTAGGTATATATTTAGTAGGCCTGCTTCTAGCATTTGTGTTTTAATTTTAAACATGCAGTGTCTGTGATTAAAACATCTATATTTGGGGGCGCCTGGGTGGCTCAGTCGTTAAGCGTCTGCCTTCAGCTCAGGTCATGATCTCAGGGTCCTGGGATCGAGCCCCGCATCGGGCT